TCGTATCAGAATCAGAATCAGAATCAGAATCAGGTTTATTGCCAAGTAGGTTTTTAGACTTACAAGGAATTTGCCTTGGTGTTTAGTGCACAACACAACACTTCTATGAGAAGCAAGAAATAAAATGTAGAAATAAAAATATAGGACAGAAATGATAAAACTGAAAAATACAATCTTTAAAAATATAGATCTGAATGTGTGAAGCCTATTGAAATGGAAAAAACTAGCCAGCTCGATGGATTATCTCAGACTTTCTCATTGCAAAAGAAATGCAGGAGAAAACACAAATGACCCAAGAAATACAAAAAAGTTACTTTTATACCCAATTTAAACAGGAAAACCTACAGGTTTGTGGAAGGACTACAGTATTGCAACATTTTATTTTCTGTGAGAGCAGGAATGGACCTGACAATTATTGCCAGGAGGACAATTATGAGGGAAAACCAACATCAGTCTGTTTCTTCTGTACTACTTATACATCATATTCAAGCCGAAAGCTGAAATGTTCTTTGGAATGAAAACTGGGACCCCCCTGTTGATTTAAGTATCTTAGATGAACAGTACAGGTGGGTAGTCATTCTAATGCTGAGTGAAAATCTTTTCCTTGATCTGATCATGGAATAAATTACATTTCTTAAATTAATTTTACATGAAAAGACATATCTCACTCTGCCAAAGTCTTTGTATAAGGAAGAGAAAGTCTACTTACAAGATTTGATTGCTCAAGAATTTGTTAAAAAATCCACATAATCCCTCGTTTGTGTGAGAAAATATCCAAGGCAGAACAGGAAGCTTCAATTTATTCCCCATGGCTCCTGCACAACATTTACATTTATGCCTTTAGCAGACACTTTTATCCAAAAAACGACTCACAAAAAGTCGCAACAGAGAAAAATGACCATTTATCGTTTAGGGAAATTTAAAGTTATTGCATTCAAATGGGCAATAGCCAACACGTCCCGGCAAGAAAAACCTAGATCTTATCCAGGATTCCTCTAGATGTGGACCTTTTCGTAAAGACGTGATAAGAGGAGATGCTCTGCGATGTGATTGGAGAAATCAAAAGGACCCTAACCCTAACCCTAACCCTAACATTAACCCGAGCCCCAACCCTAACTCTATGGAAGCGTCACAAACACCTGTTGCATCCTGCCCTCAACAGAACGGATCTGGCATGATCAGACATGATCAGAAGACGGATCTAAGTCTGGAAAAAAAGTCACTCTGCCCAAACACATAAGACAGAACCCAGCTGGGAAATGGACAAAAACAATTAGGCCTCTCTCTAAGAACTCATACTTGTTGTACTCGTAATGTTTATATTACCACAGTGGATCATTGGTTTAGGTTGAGAGGAAACTTTCTCCACTTTACCACATATTTGGCAAATTTTTTGTCTTTATTCTAGCACAAGAATAGGTTCAAAAGTCCACATAACTGGCAGATGGCCGCCCACCCTGAGCCATGGTTCTGCTCCAGGTTTCTGCCTGTTAAAAGGAAGTTTTTCCTCGCCTGTGTCGCCTAGTGCTTGCTCATGGTGGGAATTGTTGGTTTTTCTGTAATTATCTTCAGAGTAGGGTCTGACCTGCTCTGTTTGGAAAGCTGTGAGACAACTGTTGTTGTGATGTGGCGCTATAGAAATAAAATTGAATTGAATTGAATTGAATAATCCTGCTGTGGAAAAAAACGGCAGGATTGTATTGATTACAGAGATACAGAAAGACACAGGTGCTGGGTTATATCAAACAGGAAGTTTCAAGTTACAGCCCATGGCTCGTGCACATCAAAAGCAGAGAAAAATGATGGCGGTTTTTCGCCATTTTGTCATTTTTCCAGCATCAAATTAAACAATGCCCTGATGAAAATGGTGATTTCGAATATGATAAGGAGCAGTAAGATGGGATTTCCAGTTTTATCAAAACTGTTTTAAATCTCAGTGATCAGGCAAACGAACATCATGATGATACTGGAATTATAAGAGTGTAAACAGGACCGACTAAGTATGGGTCACTGTCTGTAGGAGATGGCGATGGATCCAAATGCAGGGCCCAAGCGCAAGGAACTCTGGGAAAAGTAATATTTATTAGACTTAGACTTAGACATTAGACTTAGACTTTAGTACTTTATTGATCCCTTGGGAAGACTCCCTCAGGAAATTAAAGTTACCAGCAGCTTAAAGGGCAAAAAGTATTAAGTTATTCAGTTAAATTAAATTAAGCAAAAATGAATAAATAAATAAATAATACAAAAAATACAGATTAAGTACAGTGTATATAATAGGAGTTGTGTGTATGCAATATCTCTTCCCCCTGTCCTGTGTCGTTATTATGATGACTAACAAAAAGCGCAGCTGAGGCGGGTACAAGATACTGAACTAAACTGAGAAAAAACTCAAACCAAGGACCATGGAACTACTGTAAACAAAGGAACCAGGAAAAACCAGCGAGGACACATTGGAAAAAGAAGACAGGAGGCATAGATGGTGGGATGAGGAAAGTAAGGCCCAGAAGCATGTCCACAAAACCCCTAAAAGTCCTAAAATCTCAACTAAATCTCTTCTCATGACAGTAAGTTGAGCAACTTTTGTTTTATGTGTCATAAGATAAAGAAAGTTTATTTGTGTTTGCACATTTCAAGACAATTCCACGTGTTTTATGAAAGAGTTTAAAAGCAGAAAATAAAGAAAAAATAAGAATTATTGATTAAACATATAAAGTACATTCAGAATGATGCATCATGAGGAGCTTTGACCCTGTAATGCCAAATGTGTCACATTTGATACATACGGTTTCTGAAATGTTTTGTGTCTGACTCCTTTTGCATAATTTAATGGTAAAAACTTTGCTCAAAATCCTATTGTACACAATCAGATACACCTGATAACAGGGGGCAGAAGACTACACACAAAATAATCTTGACTTATCACACAGTAATGAATTATTAATATTAAAAATGTATTCCTGTTTTTTCTTTTTATATATTTTGTTAAAAGGCCAAATAAGGAATTCAAACCAAAAAATTATAATTTTCTGTTTTGTTTTATTCTTGGATCAGGCTTTAAAGGGTTAATTCACACGCCGCTGTTTGAATCAGCTCGCAGGCTGCTTGCTCTGCTGGTTTTCTTTGTTTCTTGTCTAATTTTCTCTCTTCATGGTCTGTGTGAAGGTTTTATGTCGTTTTGTTGCTAAATTGTGTCATTTACTTGCAATTTAAATTAAATATAAGATTATTTAGGGAATGGTTGTGGTCAGTTTTGTGTTTATGGTCTAATTATTCCTCATCTCTTCCTATTTATATACTTATTTATCCATTTAAAGCAGCTTTTTGTGGTCATTTGATGTGTTTTTCATGGTCCAGAGCAGAGACCTGAGAACTGGACTGATGTGTTCCTATGTCCTGGTTCTGGTCAGAGCCTGTGGATGTCCTGCAGCTGGACCACAGCTGGTTCAGAGCCCGGTGGGCAGCTGCTACAGCCGTCTGACCCGCTCTCATCACGCATTTAACATCCATCAACGCATTCTAGGCATCAACTTAGTATTCTTAAAGGGATGATGGCATTTTTAATTGGAAAGTAGAGTTGGGAGTTGGACAGTCGGCACCATAATTGGAATGTTTCCATCCGGATGAGACTTAAGGTGTGTTTGTTTTAATGTTTCTACACAAAAGGTGTTTTCATTTTTAATCAACAACTTCAGAAACCAGCACAAAGTTTCTTCTGAAGTGAAATAAAGGCTGCAAGTGAGCTAGAAAAACAATGTTTCTTGAAAAAATCATTCACATTTCTCGATTTGTCGATGATCCTGCTTTCAAATTTTAGATTTTTTGGAAGAAAATATGTGCCAGTTTTAAAATAATTAAAACAAACATAATTATAATTATATTTTTTTACATTATCTATAAAATAATATGAAATATAAATACTTTGAAGACAGAGATAAGACCTTCTTAAATATACAGTATATATATATATACACATATATGGTCAATTCCTCCCCTCTGTTCTCTATCAAGGGAAAAATAATTCCCAAATTCGCTTCTGCACTTGCAGAAGTGGTCAGATATGTCCGGGCAGCCTGTTTGCTGACAGGAAAACCATCATTTCATCATCTCACAACACACAGCAACACACAAGTAGATATTCGTATTCATATTCGATACTCCCCGATAACATAATGTGTCTCTGATTTCCACAAATATATTCTGATTCTCACCTTTTTGAGGAACACCTTCTGGATTCTGGATCATTCTAGTAGGTCCACAAGCATCCCCGTTATATCCTCAGTACGTTTTAGGGTTACGATTGGCCCATTAATTGTATTGTACTAAATTCAATTTTTTATGCGAAAAGGCCATCAACATTGGATATTTAGATGTTGTTGTTTTTTTAAATAACAATAAAAAAGTGTTTCTGTTTAATGCTTTATGGCTACATTACTCTTATGACATTTAATAAAGATTCGCCAGATATGAATAAATATGTACAAATTCATGAGAGCAGAGATCAGGACTCCCAGCCAAGTGTCTGATATTATCAATAAAGTAAACAATTCCTAATCCAAGCTGGTGTGAACTAAACGGGTTAGACGGGAGGGAGCCTGCATCCCGAGAACAAAGAGTTCCATGTGGAACGACAAATTTAGGCTTGTCTGTCCGTTTATTCTCACCTGAAGTAGTTCAAAAGCTCCAGTCGAGTTTATGAAGCTAACCAGCTCATTCTCTACTGTTCACAGAAATTATCTCATCAAATTCGATCAATACAATCTTGATTCTTCCAAAAAAGATGATAAAGAGACAGTAAGTCGACACCAAGTTGCCTTATCGGTTGTGTTTATTCATATTGAGTGCAAATCTTTTGATATTTTCTCAGTTCAGCTTGAGGGACTTTGGAGAATGTACAGAATGTCTACACACACGCGAGCACACACACTCATACACACACAATTAACAGATGCGGACGCCATCCAGACACACACAGAAAACACACACAGACACACACACAGTCACGCCTGCACCCCGGTGAAGCACTCCATGCTGGACTTGGCCCTCTCCAGTTCATGTAGGAAATGGTAAAACTGGGGCAAGGTTAGCTCTGGAAGCAAAGAGAAAAAGACCACACACACACACACACACATCAGCGGATGGCACAAACTCTGACTCACAACAGAGCAAAGAAATGGCGTATACGGCTAAATCCATGAATCAGGCCTGAAACTTTAATGCATTTAAATTCATTAACTGATAACAAAAAAGAGTCAGTTAAAAAAAATACACTCAAATGCATCATTCTCAGCTCACTATTTTCTGGCATAATGTTGACACACACACTTTAGTCCAGTAATGACTAAAGTAATTCCTTTTTTTTTGTGGTAAATTGTAATTTATTGCAGTAATGCGGCAGTAACGTTGCTAATATTTGTTTGCTGCTACCAAAAAAGATGGAAAGAGACTCTGAAAGTACCGGAGTGGGAAGATGAGACTAATGGCATAATTTTTTTTGGTCAAAAATCTAAAAATGATCATATGGTCGCACAATTTTATCATCTTTTCTATGAGTGGTCTGGACTGCTCATATGGAAAACTGTCCCTGAATAGTGAATGGATTTCCTATCGACCCCCAGGGTTCTTAAGTAAAAAAAAAAAAAAAGGCACCGTTATAAAAGTATTTTTTGACAGTTGGGTTTGGACACAAAGAGCTGCATCAACCGCCTCCCGATCGATCCGTTTAAAGCACAGAATTCAGCCGGAACTTTGCTTTTTTTTAAATTTATGGTATGGAAAGCAACGTTTTACTCTTTGTGTCATTGCAGCCATTTGCGAAAATGAAAAAAAAAACATTTTATTTGTCATTAACGTGCACTCAGCATCCCATCTTGACAGGAAAAAAAGACATTTTTGTAAATGTCTTAATCAGCCTGCCTTTTTCCTATTGACACTCATGCTGTGATTCATATAAGTACTGTTTATAACTAATTAAAATAATAATAATAATTAATGCAATTAATTCAAATCAGGCAGGATCTCAGATGCAGGGCTCATTTAAATACATTTGCATATTTAAATAGAGGGGAGGGAGGGGTCAGGTAGCCCAACATGAGCTCTCAGTTCTTTATTGAGGGTTCAACCTCTTCTCTTTTTTAAAAAAACAGAGCAGTGTAAACAATAAAACACATGGATATATAACACAACTTTATAATGGAACCCATAAAAAGCTAGTTATGTTAGCATTTAGCACTACAAGTTAAAAAAAAGGGTTGGTTTCTTTAGTGAGGGGTGAGAAGGAGTGAAGGTGATAAATACTAAATACAGAGCATTTCGGCTTTTTTAATGTTAGCGTCTTCATTTTTAACCTTATACGGCAAAATCATTTGGGCATTTTATGCTGAGTGCTCCAAAATCCAAAAGCAACATGGGAAAATTTCTTCAAATTGTTCCACCAGAGGCAACAGAGGGTTGTTAAGGGTTGCTAAGGTGTGTTTTCTCTCTATTTGCAGCTGTTCAAACAACACATTCCTCAACTAAATGACTAATTCAGGTTAAAAAAGCCTCACATCATTTTCAATGTTCTTTTTATTTGAGAGGCCTTTGCAAGAAGGTTCAGGGAAAACTAGTCAGAATATTTTATATCTTTTTTTAGTGTGCGTGAGTACCGAGGATGCTCACCCATGTAGACGTTCTCGGTGGAATTCCCCCTCCTGACCACCAGCTTTATCTGCCAAAGGACACAGACGGTCAGCGAAGGCTAAAGGAAAAATATCTAGAAAGATTCAAAGCCTTTTTACCTGCAGAAAGATGTTGCCCACTTTTTGGATTTCACTGGTGCCCGCAGTCACTAAAAAATAAAAAATAAATGATGAGGAAAGGAATTTTCTTTGGGAAAACAATGCAGAGAAGAAAGCACATAAATTTCAGTTGCGAAAAAAAAAAAAAATTTGGTTTGTTTTTTTAAGTTTAGGAATTTTCAAGAACAACTCTAAATTACAATTACATTTTTCTTTTTTTTTAAATATTTTTTGTTTGATTTATTACACATACAAATTTTGGTTTTGTGTAGAGGGTCAACAACAAAAAAAAACAAAAGTTTAAAAAAAGGAAAAAAGAACATGTGTAATATTTACCTAGCTCCATTTTTTTAGATTTTTTACATTTCAACGAAACACCCCAAAACATACACCCAGTGATTTCTATATGCCCGAACGGGTCAGAAGAGACCAGTGTCCCTCCTAAAAAGTCCATTTTGAGGTCGTTACAGCCTATGCTTCTCTCATTAGTTAAAGTTTTAAGAGTAAAAAAATCCTACAAAAAGAATCCCAAGTTCAATCAAAGATGGAGTTTGGCGAAATTATATTTGGGTGTATGATTTTGGGCTGTAGTGAATAGTCATCTATATTCTTTTGGTTTGTATTTGTGTGTGTGTATATACAGGTATGTATACATGTATGTGTGTATATATCATATATGTATATTTTGCTGTTGGATTACTTTGTGTTGCATTTTTGGCCTGTGTGTGGGCACCCTGGAGGGGGAGGGGAGGGGTGTGGGTTTGTGTGTATGTGTGTATACATATGGTAGTGTGTATGTGCAGTTTTCTCTTTTAGGGCATTCGAAGTTTCAGGGATCTGGTTTATTGTGCTGCATTTATTTTGAATTTCTGTTATTGGTTTTATTGCTCTTGGCTCAGGGAATATTCTTTTATTTTGAAAATTCTTTAAAATAAAAAGTTCTAAAAAAAATTTTCAAAAAAGAATCCCATGATGTTAGCCATGCTAGCAGAAGTGTTTGGTTGTGTTATGTCTGTGCATGTACACATAGAAAAACCCATAGAATATAGGAAAATAACCAATGTAATCTCTATCCCACAGCCTCCTGTAAAGTAAATGCGTTGTGATCTTCGGTTTTCATACCTCCAAACTTCCACTCCATGTCCACTAGCTGGTTCACAGCGAGCGTGTGTCGGTGACTGAGCCTGGACAGAGTCTCCCGGTGCTCCCCCCACTGCAGAACACAACACAAAACCTCAGAAAATCATCAGAAAACCCGACACAAAGTCAGATCCCTGCTAACCCTGAGGCCCGTGCTCTTTTTCACCCTGACCACACGTTCTTACACTTTCTGGTCTAGCTTCTTTTCCACCTTTTTGGGGTTTCAAACTTTGACTGTTAGTTTTCATAAAGGGCCATAACAACGTTTCGCAATCCTCGAGATGATATCACCACGTAAAACTTAACCAAACAGAAAATATATCATCCACTGACATGTATTTTTAGGTCTAAGATTTTTTTAAAAAAGGTGTTAAATGGAAGTTACCCGCTGTGAAAAGTGAGCTGCTTTGTCTTCATGTAGACCTGATGAATCCACAGAAAAACAGGTTTTGATTTCATGAGAAAATGCTTATTAAGTCCAAACATTAGCTTAATGCTTTTTTGCTTTTTTGACACTGTGTTCATGGGAGAATTGCATGTTTACCTAATGTCACCAGGTCTTCTCTGATCTGATCAGTTGTCAAGTTTTTCTTCAGCGCTCCTGAGGGGAAAAGAAAATAAAAAAATCACTGGAACAAATAAAATGTTAAACTTAAAAATGTAAAAATTAGTTCAGCTGCAGATACATAGATCAATCAAAGGAGATTCCTTCAGTAGGTCATACTTTGTCCTATGAAAAGTGTCCTTCAAAAAGCATATTTATCTAAAAATATAAAGTAAATGCACTGAGAGCTCTGCGGGTTAAAAAAAAGGATTCTCTTTGAGACAAAAACAAAAAAAGGAACGACCAACCCCTTGGTCCTAAGTTATGTTTATTAAATCACTAGCCAGATCGCTTTATAACTTCGAAAAGAATTAGGTCTTTATTGAATATTTTTCTTGTTTATTAACGGCCAAATGATGTAGAGCTTCTTTTTTGGAAACACACTGTGTCACAGTACAATGGTTGAGGGGAATTATTTATTTTTTAATAATATGGACACGAATGGTTGTATTGATAACTAGTTGGATAACAAGTGTATTTTAATTTTAATCTAATTTTATTTAATCTAATTTTATGTATCTATTTTTATTATTAATTTGTTTTATTTTCATTTTAAAGTGAGATTTATGACTTTAAGATGTATGTCTCTGGATGCCACAGGGTCTACTTTGATCTTTAGTTGCTTCCTATTTTATGTGATGTTTCTGGTTGTATTGCTGTTGTTTCGTTTAAAAAGCAAAATCTCAATAAATACATGTTTGAAAAAAAAAGTAACAACCAAAATCTCTTTGGGGAAGAAATGCACACAAATAAAAGTAACAACAGATAAAAACATTTTGGATTTTTTAAACAATGCTACATTTATTTTTAAAAAATGTTGAAAAATGATAGCAGGAAACAGTAAAAAAAATTAAAGTTTTGCGGGCTCTGAGCCAGAAGTGGGAATTCTCTGGAAGTGGGAGGGTGAACCTGCCGAGCCCAAATGGTGAGAACAGCTCATCATGAGGGCGTCAGCTTCCCTCAGCTCTCCTCAGACGCCTTCGGGGGGGCGAACAGAGACAGTGAAACTGGAAACCCAGAACGGTCAGAGCATAATAGGTAGGTTTCATTCACACAGGAACGGGTTCTGTCACCTTCTGACTGCTGTATTCCTTAAAAATGTTCAAATGTTTAACAGACCAATTCAGCAAGAAACCATCAGCTCATTAAAGTAATGATGAAACAATATACTCATATCAGCTTAAAGCACTAAAAAGGACAATAAACACTGAAACCCTTCAACTAAAAAAAAAGAAAAATATATGCTCTGTTTGCTGCTTTTTGCTAAAAATCTATAATTTCTCTACAAGATACTCCTATTCCCTAATTTAACAATAACGTTTTTTTACAATTAAAATGGACACTGTCACCTTTTCTTCACAAGTGATTATCCTGATCACTATTTGAGATTGCCATTCTCTTTTATTTTTGCCATTATTTGCCTATTTTTAAATCAGTTATACTGTTTTTTTCATTCTCATTCCTGATTAATAGAAGTCTTATTAACATCATGACTATGACTAAATCCTATTTATGTATTTAATTCATTATTCAGCTCATCACAGTTAGTTTTCCATTTCAAGTGGGCGTGTGGGACTCAATTCATTGTGTCGTACTTAATTTGTGTGTTTTAGGGACATAAATGCGATGTTACTTCATTAAAAATGTATGTACTTAATAACCACACACATGTGTAATAACAAGTATATAAAGCAGACAAATCACCCCAAAATAAAACCAGTGAGTAAAATAAATGTTGTTGTGTTTTTAGGTAAAAAAAAGAAGTTATAAAAATGTAAATAGTTGTGTTTCCGGTACCTTGTGGCACCAGGAGGATGCTCTTCATTAAGTTTCTCAGCGGTCCAGCGCTCATCCCATGATCCCCTGCAAACTCGTTGATCTGCTGCATGAATCTCTCCGCCTACAAACACACATTAGAAACACAAAAACTAAATAAATCTCATCGCAAACCTGAGTCCAAAGTCAAAAACGATGGCGTCTGTTGTGGGCGTGCGCACGCTCACCTCTTTGGTCTCCAGGAGGAAGCGGAACAAAATGTCAATCAGATGATGGAACTGCTGCACACGCACGAAAACACACAAAAGACGTTACACACTCTTCTCATCCTGGAAAGCCACCAGCTTTTTCTGTTTTTTTTTCTGCCTTCAGAACCAGTTTTAATTGCCGCATTTCGTCTCAACCCCCCCCAAACCTTTTTCGGCTAAGATGACAAACTAGCCCTTCAGATCTTTTACAACTGGTTGGATGATAAGTGTGAGACTATGGATTATTTTTTGTATAAAAACCTGCACTTGTTTTACAATACAAACTATCCCAGCGGGAGAAGAGATGGAGAGACAAACTTTGTAAATAAAGTTAGCTTTTTTTGTTTGTAAACTGCTGATAAATTGCTCAAAGTGAAAAACTCTAATTTAAAACTGAATCATTTGCATGTAGCAGCCGATCCTGACCTTTGACCTTCTTCGAGCTGTGCTGTTTAGCTCTATGTTACATTTTATTTGACTTGGAGTCATTATAAATCCACAGAAACAATCTAACATATTGATTTGTTTGACCTTTGACCTTTTACAGAACAGTCTTCATCTCTGTGTCGGAAAGTTTTTCTTTTTCTGTAGAGGTTCCTCTCCAAATCCTTTTTTTTGTTGAACCTTAACCTCGTATTTTCACCCTGCTTCTCATCCTTTGGCCATTGTTCTTCCATTATTCCAGGTTATCTTTAAAGAACCCGTCAACTGTTGTTAATTCACTTTCAGGTGACTTTTTGCAGCATTTCAGTGTGTTTTCAGCTACTTGCTGCTACTTTTTCAACTTTTTTCGCTTTCTCACATTTTCTAGTTTTACTTAAACAACAATCAAATTTAAAATCCAAGCACACCTTGTTTCTTAATTGCATTATGAGTAATAATTGTACACATATGTATAAATAAGTATGAGTTAAGTATAATTTAAGGGGGAGTGCAATAGGTCTTATTGAGTCACAGAGAGCCTCTATTTATTTGAGCTCATGTGCAAAATCTTCCTTATCTAATTTAATCAATATGCTTTTCGAGCTGTAATTATTTTTTTAAAGACCCTTTGATCGGGGAAATTACGTCCTGTAAATAAACCCTAGTAAACCAAACCACTGACACGTTATTAAATGTCCGTAACATCGCCGTATTTACCTGTTCGTTAAACTTGTTCAGATTCTGAAAGTCGGTGCTCACAGAGTCCGGAAATCCTTCTTTTGTTAAGTGAAGCTGCATTATTTTATCTTTGTAGGAGAAGTTTGTTTTTCTTCTAAAAGACAGCTGGGGAGACACAGCGGAATTCCGAACGAGTTCCGGGTGCGGTACTGAGCATGCGCGTGACTGGCAGACATGCGTACAGTGTAGAAAAAAGTACAAATGATAGAAATTTTTAATCTTAAATTGCTGTTTTAAAGTAAAATAATAACTTAGAACATCTAGAAAATAATTATATATGGAAATTACTGTCGTGGGACGAAAAATAACAAAGAACCTAGAACTGGAAGTTTCAGCAACAACCGTCCAGTTATTGCTGAAACTTCCGGTTTTAGATTCGTTGTTATTTTCTGTAATTTATAAATATTTGAATTCATAGTTTCATCACAAATAATTGAAAGCACAATAAAAGAAAAATTCATTGGAAACCATACAATGTAAAAGGAGAGGGAAATAAAATGTTAAAAGTATGATGCATGGCCTTCCTAAAATAAGACCTGATTGGCTTATATTGTATATTCAATATTTATAATTAAAAAAAGGTTTGAAATTACCTAGGTCATAAGTACAAGAAATTCCTTATATGAACAGGTCTGACCGAGGAGAAATAAATCCTAACCCAGCTGAAATTTGCACTGAATTCAGGAAATTGTCATCCCCCTTTTCTACTCTGTTTCCTGTGAAAATTCAAACAAGCCAGAGCTCCAGCGTCCGTCATGTGCACGTGCTACCAAGGCACCATGGAGAGCATTGTGTCCAGCTGCATCATCGTGTGGGGCGGGAGGAAAGCCCTGCAGCATCTCTAATGACCAGAACTGGACAGATCCTGATCGTCCCACTGCCCTCCTCTACAAGACGCATACATCATCCCACTTAACTTTAACAGCAGCCATTATGGTGAACGATGCCAGCACACAGTTCTGTCAGTTGACACACAAATAGCTTCATCCACCGAGGAAGCTGAACTCTCTCCCCCTTGAACTAGAACCGTCTGATCTACAGAAGCTCTGTCTTTCTTCATTTGTATAATACGTCACACAGAACCCTTATGCTGCCATGAACCTTACAAGCATCCATCCATTTTCTGTACAGCTTATTTTGATCAGTTTTGGGGGTTTTGGAGCATGCAAACTCCACACAGAGTGGTCCCCGTTCCTCCAGGGTCTCAAACCGGGAACCCTCTCACTCTGAGGGAAAAGCGCTACTGGGAACTTTCTATTTACTTTAATTCCTTTTTTAAAATTTCTATAATTTATTGGTATCATTTTTACACTCTTTGATTTATTTTATTCCTTATTTCATACTAAACTATTAAGATGATGATGACAGCGTGATGGAAAGAACAGTTCCTTTGTCCGGCACATTTGAAAAAATTGACAACAAAGCTATTCCTTAACCCTTAAATCAGATTTTTATTGTATGAAACTTTTCTTAATGTACCCTAATTATATTTTCTCTCTAGCGCTTGGAGCGGTAACCCTGTCTTTTATTGTTCTAAGGTCTTTCCATTTAGCTTCATCCATTGGATCACACATGTATGCTTTGATCATTTCCAGAACTTTAGAAATATACAGTGTCTGGAATTCAATCCAGAGTTTTTATCATTCCTGAAATAAATTATTTCATTCTGTTCGGGTCATTAAATTGTTTAGAGAGCATTTCCATAGGAAATTATTGAAAGAGAAAAAGTCATTTGGGAAGAAGGCACACTTTAGTAATGACCAGTAGTTTAAATCTGCTATTATAGTTGTGGTTATAATGGTGTAATTAAGATTATACATGGTTGATAAGTCTTTTGGTATATTAAGCCCCAGATACAGGCTATAGTTGAAGGTAAGAGTTATAAGTTATACTTAAGTTGAACTATTTCTAGAGTACGACTAAAATTCGGTGAGGAAGGATATTGGTTTAGACAAGCCTAGAATTTGGTCAGAAAGAGTTTAAAGGATATTGTCTGCATATAAACAATTTTATATTGATACCCCAATCTGTACAACCTCCTACAGCAGGTTTCTCTTATATCCTGACCCCGTGGCCCAATAAACAGGGTGAACACAGTTGGACAAAGGCACTACATGCCCTCTTAATGAAGACTAGTTGATATAAGTTTCCTTTTCTTTTCATTTTGGCTGTAAGAGAGCAGTAAGAGACCCAGTTATTACACACAACTATTTGATCATTAAACCCAGTATAGTATAACCTCCTGAGACCCAACGTTTCATATGAGGACAGTGCATTTCTGCCTCTCTTTCCCATCATCCTTCTTTTTTCTTTGACCTTTGACCTCTTGGCCTCGTAGCAGATGCCATCAGACACTACTGTTTGAGATCTAAAGGAAAATGGCTTTAGACTTTTTACACCAATCATGCTCTTATTGTGGAATTAAAATGTTGTAAATAAGTCATTTGGACCGTTAGAACCAAATTGCAAAAACATTTAATAAATATATAAACAAACATTTAAAATATAAAGATAAACCCACTGAGCCTTTATGAAGAAAAACTACCTGTCTGGGTGTTAAATGTATCAGCTCCTATTGATCCCAAAGATCTGGAACAAAGCAACAATGCACACCTCAGCTCTCAGGAGGTTAAGAGTTAAATATTCCCAACTAACCGTCTCCAAAACAAAAAAAAAGCTCTTTTGTTGGCTGAAGAGGGGTTATATATATACCATAGATCACTTTTTACCATCAGGAAGGCTTATTCTGTTTAACTGTGAGCTGCAATCAACAATTAATATCAAGTTTGAGTGCAAACTAGTGGCCAATAAAGTGACAACTCACATTTAGGTGTTATTTAACATTTCAATGAAAGGAAATCACTTTCAAAGATTTAAATTCAACTCTACATTCTTTTCCGCTTGATGTAGATTTAATTAGGGAATGCAATGTGCCTAAGGCTTGATAAACTGTCGGTGTCATAACTATGCGTTATATATATATATATATATATATATTATTTTTTATTCATTTATTTATTTATTTTCTGTTCAGTATTCTGTTTTGTTTATATTAGTTTGGGAAAAATATGTTTCTTTACGCATTACAGTAAACCAGGTTGACAAAGAGATTGCGTGTGTGAGTGTGTGGGTGGGTGGGTGTTAGTGTGTGTGTGTGTGTGTGTGTTGGTGGAGGGGTTGGAAGGAGGGAACTCAGCTAGCAGAGTTCGTGAGCGGACAGAAAGTGGGAGTGGACAGTTTCACCTTGAAAAATCCCGAGTGACCAATCTCCTCTGCTCTGCGCCTTTTACGTCTCCTGGTTTTTTTTTTTTTTTTTTCCTGCACACGGACGCGCGCGCAGAAGAAGCGTGGAGACAGAACGCGCTCCCCACAGCGGAAAGAAAAACCTCAACGACGGCATCAGACCTTCATTTATTTATTGAAAAATTCTGTGCATTACTTTTTTTTAAGTTTAAAAAACGCTTAGAACAACATTTCAGTCGCGTGCACTCAGCAGCCCCCTTCTGTCACACTTTCCCTGCCGTGCGCGCGCGTTGGAATCGTGGATGGTTATGTAAGTATTGCACCGGGAAGCAATATTGTTGTACCGATTCCAGATATTAGACAGAAAAAAATAGCCAGGAATCCCAGGTTTAGTGTTGACACTGCAGAAAAACTCCGTTTTTTACGCGTAAGCTTTGCTCCAAAGTGCACGTTGCTGAACCTGAACCTGGTCAGGTAGGCTGCCGCACCAATTTAACAGCGACCTGTCCAAACTCTAGATGACTTAGAAGTAAAAACGAGCCGCGTGAGTCGTGATAAGGAAAGTCCCTGGTTTTTAAGATCCGCTCCTGGAACGGTGCGTAAGAACTCCGCTGTTTCTGTTTGGATCCCCCCAAAGCACAGCCCAGAAGTGAACAAATCGTTGTCTTTTCCACCAGTTCATAACCAAAAGAGTCATAAAAGAGCATCATGTTTATTCTGGTATTTTTAGGGCGCACTATAAAGGGCTTTGACGCTTTTTTTTTGCGACATGCCTCCAGGTGTTCTGGTGTGGTTGCGACAGTAAATTGATCAATTAAGTGACCACTGAGCAGCAACTCTCTGTGTTTTTTGTCTTTCTTTTTTTTTTTGGCGTGCTGTGCACAGCGGAATGTTACCGCCACCCCTGCTGCTGCTCGGTTTCCTGGTTCTTGTGGAGTTTTTTTTTTTTTCTTTTTTTCTAAGGAAACCGGCAGCTGCTCCAGTGTGCGCAAAGGGTTCCGACTCAATCTGTGGAGAAAAAAAAACACCTTAGAGATAATTCTCCCCGGTGGTGATTTGAATTATCCTTTGTTTTTGTAAGAGATTTAGTTGTTGGTTTGTTTGTGGACAAAACTCTTATTGGATTTGGTCACGCTCAGAGTGCCAAAGGGAAGTCATGCTTAGAATGCGGATAGGGGGGAGGAGACTGTCCGCTCCATGGTGGAGACCGTAATGAATGAGAAGGTTGTCATCGGGGTTTTTAATCCATTGGCACGGACATCCAGGTCTCTCATGTCCCAAAAAGACAACTCAGGAAATGCTACTTTTACTATATTTGACATACATTTGCGTAATAGTGGGGTGCAGGTCCGGTGGACTTTTGTCTGTTCCCTGCCTTTCCTAAAAAATCATGCCAAAGTGCCTTTAGGCAGAACACTAAATTGTCCATTCAGTGTGCGTGCGTGCGTGCGTGCGTTTGCGTGTTGTGTAAAAGAGCTTACAGCTAGACCATGGATGTGTTATTTGAGTACATTTTACTTTATCGTTTATAACCCACTGCTAAATGTTCGTGTCTACACAATTCTTCAATTATTGTTATTGTTAATGATACTTAAATTATATTTTCTACTAACTATTTACAGAACATGCATTGTTGCAAATAATGTCATCATAAAATATTTAAATTCCTTTATGTGTGTTCACACCTGTGTCTTTAGGGAAAGCTTAAGGTAATTAAGCTTTGGGCAAATAAGCAAACATACAAATAATCACAGATTTACCTTCAATTTTTGTCTAAAACCACAAATGCTTTGGGAACTTTTTTATTCAAGACACTTTGATATCATACAGTCATTTGTTCTATCTGATTTTGAGGAATGTCTCTTTTCTGAATATATTTGTGCGCACAGTTGGGTTATAGAGGTACTTTTTTATTCCTATACTTCACACCCGAGGTGTGTCTTCCAAAAATCACAAAGTGAAGTTCCTCCTCGTGTCCAAAATAGTTTTTTCCCCCTCGTATCTAGTTGTTTACCTTTGAAAGTTAAAGATCTTCATCCTAATACAAACAATTCAGAATACAATTGTAATGTAGCACAAAAAATGAATATTTACAATAGCTTAATTTGAGGAAAAATGTATTAATTAATATAGAAAAACTAAAAAAAAAACATAAAACATTTCTTAGTTTAGATATCCCAGGAAAAAAATGCACATTTTTCAACCATTTGCGGTTTTAATTAAGAAATTTTCTCCACTTTTGCATATTACATATTTACAGTAGCCATCTTTTTTTTCTTTTTGTCAGTTTTTTGCTGTCTTAATGATTTCTGATGCTGATGTCGCATTTTGGTTCGAATCCAACAGGTCTCCGATAGTTTACCAAAATATGCTCAAAATGAATGTAGAAGACTCTTTACGTGTGCGTATGTGCATTTAATGCTGAGTACATATGAGGTTTAATGCGTCACTGGAGTCAGTGATGCATGGGATTACATTCATTGGGGTTCACTACCCTGGACAACTAAAAAAAGTCTGGATTGTGTATAATGTCGTATGTTTGGAATGGATATTGAATTTAGCTGCATAGTGGACTGTTTGTGATCCTTTTGTGTGGATGGAAACATGTTTTTTGGCTTGGAAAGGACCAGTGAAAATGTAGAAACTGTAGTGGCTTGACCTGAGCTGAAAGGGGCCATAAAGTACATTACAGATGAGGAATGCGGGCCCTCGGAGAAATACCCCGAGGAGCCGCCCTCCCTTTCCTCACACACACACACACACACACACACACACACCCTTCAGGGAGGGAACAATCCCCTCTCGCAGTGTGGTCGCTAATCTCAAACCACCACACACAACTTTGATGTGAAAGCTCCTTTCTGTGTCCCCTGTGCCCCCTTTTGAGGGGCCCCTCACTTTGTCCTCCATCCTGCTACAGCGCCGCTATGTCAGACTCCCTTTCCTCCTTCTTGGTTTTCTGCAACCGAAAAACACACGTGGAGAGATGCAAAGGAAGACAGGTTTTGTGCGAGGCCGCTTTCATGGATATAGTTTTTATCACTCTTATTCTAAAAGTGCCAGTTTTGTGAATAAGGGCAATATGTGTCATTTCAAATGACTGGACTGCTCACCACTAAAAAGAAATATAATTTGTAACAGAACTTTGACAAACAACATATTGTACTTATTGCTTTTTTTTCTTCCTTTTTTTAAATCCTAATTTGGATATTGCGTCCTCTAAACAAGATCCAGTTCGTCATCTCCAGCTTTTAGAGGTTTCAACCTTTGGAATGACATGTGGCGGCATGTGCTAATTGACTTTGTGTACACCTGTGGGCGACGGTTCTTTCAGGAAAGACCTTGTGGATCGACGTAGTTACAGTCATTAAAATTCGGGTTGGTCGTTTTCTACTAAATTTGCCTGGAGCACAAGGGGTTAAACAATGTGATGCATACTTTACAGCAGAGTAACTTTTGCATTCAAATCTTTGACCAACTGGAAAATTTGTCACATCTCGGATTGGAAAGAAACGGGACTTAAGGCGCAACAAAAATACAAGCTGTGACAGGTGCTCACATAACAAGGTGGCAGGCATTGCATGAAAAGGTTACAATATCTTTGGCAATGTACAATGCAACTTCATCCATAATGGCTTTCCCAGTTATATCGCAGATGACATAGTCATAAAATGATTCCTCAAAGGTGGGTTTTCTCTTGATGAGGTTTTGTGGGCGACGGGTGTCTTGGGCGTGTGGTGGAGGGCAGCATTTATAGTTTCATTAAGCACATGATCAGAGCTCCCAAATTTGGTAGCAGCTTATATACAGATTTTGCCTGGTCCAAGGTCTTGCGACTGAACCAGTTTCGTAACATTACTGAAATGGTGTATTTTTTGGGAATAAGTTCAATTTCCCAAAAATGAAATCTATGTAAACCTGCATATATCAAGATGGCCAACTCTAGAGGCAGCTCCTGCAGCAGCTCTTGCCCCTCAATGACCTTTTTCCTCTAATTTCTGACTTTGTAGACGTAGACATAGATCTTAGTCGGGGTATCTTTGTGAATGTTCTACATATCCACCGAGTGTTCTTGAGCTGGCGTCTCTTTCTCATGACGATTCCACGATGTTTCGATCCCGGCTGGAGGGCCCGTGCGTCGTCTATTGTTTACAGTAGAGATCGGCTGTTGGTATTTCGTAAATTTGAACTGCTGCCCCCACAAGGAGCCTGAGGTTCCCCTTGAGGTGAGGAGGAGAAGACGGGTGAGCCGTGACAGAACAGAAAGATTTAGACCAGTGCTCCGGTCTATTATCACGGGGAAGGTAAGACTCTCTCCATCGAGATGGACCAGACAACAAAGGGAGTACCAGGAGTGTATCCTCCTGTAGTTTACAGAAACATGGCTGACCGTGGAAGTGATTGGGAATGATAGATGGTGTAATTCTGGGAACATCACTATCAAGGAGCCACTCTGTCGCAAGGCCGTTGAACTGTTAGCCCATAGCACGGGGCTATACTACCTGCTTCGGGAAATTGTTGCATGGTATCACAATAGCGCCGTATAGGGGCAATAGTGTGGATGGTATCCCAAGCCTGTGATATCATCCACACTGTTACATCCACACTGGGTAGGCTGTGGACGCCACAACTTTAGGCCCTCAATCTTTCTGGTGGATTCAACCACGCCTTTCCATCGAATACCCCATCTGACCACCAGCATGTGTCCTGTCGACCAGACACGGTAAAACCCTGGAATAAGGCTGGGCCATACCATATATTTCCAGGTAATACCGGTAAAAATTGCCACGAAATTGCCCAGGTAAATAAATTAAACCATGATATGCAAATTTCATGTCGTAAATACGTCCCCGCACCACGCAAAGGATTACGCCCACCTGGGTCTTGCAGCGATATTCAAGTTGTGGAGGTGAATGCAATAACTTGTAATTTCGAAAAAGGGGAAAGGTATCTTATTTCACCATCTCAAGCATCAGCACCCAAATATTTTCTAGGATTTTCTGAAAGCCGGTGAGGGAAAGTTCGGCAGCTAGCACTACTAAACCAAAACAATGTAAGAGAGTTTGGCGTGACATCGCCAAGTCATTCACTAGCTAGACATCACCCAAGCTGTCACAACTTGTTTGGCAAAAGATACCAAACTGCCAATCCAAACTGTAGAGAAGGAATGCTTCAAATATCTTAAGAAACTAGATCCACTATACACCCTCCTAGACATGTACGAAGAATACCATAAAAATGACTAAATGAAGTAATTGTAGTAAAAATTAACCTGATGTTTTTTTCATTTTTATATAATACTGCAAAGCAACCTTTTAAAATAATTTTGTCAAATAACTATCATTTCTCTTGTTTGTTTGTTTTTATGCCCTGAAATATCACTCTATTATGTTTGAGCATATATGCGACCGCTACTAAAATGTATGTTTTTGGACGGGACCATCTTGGTTTGAGGCAACGGTGCCACACCACACCAAATAGTTGTCAGTGCTTTAGAACCAAGTGTTTTTCTGTCTTTTTATTTTAAAATTCTAGTGTCATATCAAGCTCTCAAGGCAGAGCAGTTAATATGAAAGTAGAACAAACTGTCTGCAGGTCTCTCTGTGCAGACTTGTTTGACTAAAACAACTTATCACCCTCTTGAAACTTAAACCAAAACACACCGTCACACACTTCTGCGCACAGCTCGGATTGTACCCTTCAGCGAAACTTGTAGTTGCCTAACCCTAACTTTGATCAACATGTTGGCTCAGTCCCTAACCAGAATGTCACAGCCTTATTTCCTGATTTGGATTTTTTTTTTTAAATACCCATGAGAACATTTTGTCCAGACAAACTCCCGACATGTGGGCATGTCTGCAAAAGTCCCGGTACTATTATCCTCCGTTAGAAAAATAGTCATTTATGGACTTTAGCGTATTGGCGGAAAAGATTGCGGCATCAAATAATTTGATTTATGGAACATGTGAAAACATAGTCACAGTCACTTAATGTTTTGTGTGTGTTTGCGTGTGTGTGTTTTGCTTCAACACACATGCTGACAAGTCTGGATATCTGTTTACTTGAGGTTTGTATGGGCATGTCCAATCTGCTTTAACCGCTTTGCAGGAAACTGCAGATAGTGGTGTTCTTTGCCTTCTTTTCCAGTTTTTTTTTCATTTACTTTTTTGTACTCATCTATGTTTTCCCCTATTTCTTTTTGGCCCACTCACTTGTCACAAAGCTACATTTCATTCCAGTTTATATTCCAAAATTGATTGTTAATAAAGCAGATTTGTATTTCCATTTGATTAAAAAATATGATTATTTGAAGGTCATAAACAATTAAAAAATTACTCTTTATTGAAATGTTTTATTAAGAACAACACTCACCTTTAGTAAGGGATTTAGTGCACAATATAATTGTGCACTGTCGTTTTTCGGGAAATCCAGTAAAGGTTGCCATACATTTGAAGATATTTCCTTCGCCTACATAGTTGTTGATGATGAGTCAATTTTTTTCCACATTTTCCACCTGTCGGACCACAAAATCAATCAAATTGAAGATGCAAGGCTCTTTAAGTAGACAGACTACATGCATAAGAATAAATATTTCAGTATAAGATTAAATATAAAGATGAAACTAGATTCATGGTCTATAGATTAAATAATACAGAGAGGTCAGATGATTGCAGGTGAATTTACACATGGAGGATAGATACAGAGTTCACAAGTAGTGACCTGGAAGTTATATCGATTTATTGCACTTGAATTTGGAATAGTCTGATGGCAGAGGGTACGAAGAACCTCCGGAAGTTCTCGGTCACACACCACTAGCTTGTACTTTACAGGTCCCACAAAGTGTAGCCCAGAGCGTGAAAAAGTCCCGAGTTAGTTTGACACTTTTCCCTGCTGTGGCTTTCACATTTATCAGATATAAAACTGCGGGAAAGAAAAAATGATTGAGGTCTTTTCAGTTTGTATTTAGCTGTAAGCACAAGTCCAACTAATCCCGCGCAGCTAGCAACCAGGGAACAGTTCAACCTCTTTTTCTTGTTCATGTTCCACATTGTTTTTTTGTCTTGTCCAGGTTTGAAAAGGAGGCAAGACAAACACTGGACCAGTCGGCTGCAAGTGCAATGCCTGCCAACAAGTACTCTGCTGTAGTCATGGAGGAGAGCAATGAGATGAGTGCCACTGTAAGTCATGCAAACACAAGCACAGAAAAACTTATTTTACCCTAAATCCAACCATCACATCTTCATATCCTTAAGTTACTCTGCTCCTTTGCTATTGTAGGAGTGACTTCTATATGTATTCACACTGCTTCAACTGAACTGAGCTGAACACATATTCAACTTTCTGCATTTTTCCTGAAAAATGTTCAACTCTACACCATGGAAACAGCTTTATATTAATTCATAAATGATGTACAATATAAAAAAAACACACATTTTCAATTTGACTATTTCACCTCTAAACAATGTTTACCAGTATAAGAGAGCCTGAAGCATTTAGTATTTAATTGAACTTTTATTTTATTTAATATTTAACTGCCTTTCCCAGGTTTCTGGCATAGTTGTTAAATTATCTACATACCCCGGCATGATGCATAGGATGAATTGAGTGACATCAGTGGACACGATTGTTTGTTAAACAGAGGAAAAGACCAATTTTATTTACTATTTAGAGCAAAATTAAACTGATTTTAGGGTCTTGAAACACTGAGAGATTTGGTACAGACCCCTTATTCATCCTCTTCCCTATTTGAAAAGTGTCCCTTCAAGTCTGTATTTATCAAATTATCGGACTATTATTGTTATATTTTGTTTGTATGTTTTGTTATCATACACAGTCACAACTCATTTCTATCAGCAGTGGAAAATAACATTTACAAAAACCACATACTGCTGCTATCATATAATTTTACACTCATCTAAGAGTATTTGCTTCTTTTATTTAACAAGAACTGATTTAAAATTGTGACTCAGGCACCTTCACTGATGAAACTGTTATATGTACAAACAACTTAAAAAGCACCAAGAGATTAGTAGTAATACTAAATGGTATCTCCACTACTTATAATAGTACATACACATAACACCTAATAGCACATACAACTAATAAATATATATAAATACATTTAATACATGAATAATAAATTAATAAAATCAATAACAATAATATTTTTATAATAATAATAAATAATAACTACACAATAACTTAGTTTCTGCCAAACGCTCCCTAGTAAGTGGTAGGTAAGTCACCAAAAAGCAGTCTTACTAGAGAAGAAGGCAGACAAATGGGTCATTTTAGTCCAAAAACATGACTGACAGGGTTAATCGGTCTCTCTAGATTGCCTGAGGTGTGCCAGGGTGTGTCCTGTCAGTCTCTGCGTGGCCCTGTGACGGGCTGCTGACCTGTCCAGGGTGTGTCCGGCCCAGGACTGTACCGGACCCCTCGCTACCGTTTAAGTGCGTTTGCAATAAATGCTGAGCGCTGCCTCAGGAAGCATCATCCAGCTCTGGAATGGATGCTACAGCATCTGTAAGATAGCAAAGAGTGCGAGCATCAGGACTAATGAACCTGTTGGTGCGCACGTTGAATCTGCCACCTGGTGGCCGATTCAGATCTAAAATTGAATTTACCTGTTTACCTGCTTCTAGTGTTTGTATGACTCACTGCTGAACTCATCTAGTCTGCCCATTTCCCACATTTTTCATAAAGGCTTTGAATGAGAACATACTTACAATGATTTTTTCAAATATTTGCATAAAATTATACACATGCACATGATTAGATTGAACCAATTTATACCATTTCATTGAACAAAACATTTAATTCAATCAGGATTTCTGTCTTAACGTACACAAAGTTTGACTATCACACTACAATTATCAAGCAAAAAGCAAAGCTTATTAGAAGGAAAAATGCACATATTTGGTGAGGCACTGGAATCTGAGGCTGCGCACCATTCAGAATATGCAAAAGGATGTCAGTTCTTCTGAGAAGGAAGCCTGATAGTGAAGTGTCTTGGTTTTAGTTTAGCTAAAAGTGTAGAGTCGTGGGAGAAGACTAAACGATCTCTCACAGTTGCTCACTGGGATGGTCGGAACAACTTGTAAAAGAGCCCTGAGAGATGGAAACATCATGGGATCCAGGAGTCTTAACACACCCTCCATGTCTGGAATGGTTTCTGGACCATTTTTGATTTTTTTTCAAATGGATGTTGTAATGACTCTGATCCATTCGGCAAGTCGGAGTTGGAGCCACAAGACACCTCCGCCACCAAAGTCTGCCATCTTCTTCTGCTTTCTCCTTTCTGGACCCAACCAAGGCTCCCGGATGCCATTTACTTCATATACAGTTTTTGCTTTGGAATGGATTGTTCTCTGGGTTCTCTGCATGTTGGTAAACCTTTCAGTGACACCAAGTAGCCTACACTTTTTGAGAACCACTAACAGGATATATCGCATGGACTTGAAAACGTTTTGGAATGCAAAGCCAGCACTTTTTTTTTAGCTTTGTGAGGACCTCTGACCCACATGAGAGAAAGAGAAAGTCCCAGAAGACAACCACAAAAACAAATCACTGGTGTTAAGAGAACGACTAAAGGTTCTGGACTGGATCGTGTTCACGGGAGGGCTCCGGAGAAAAGGTGGTCACGAGGGAACTGGAAGCTCCGGAAACCGACAAGAGAAGGAAACTGGGATTGGAGAAACGAACAAAACACCTGGCAGTGGCCTTACTTTGGGGAATATTGATGGTCCACTAGGAGGATCCAGTTGAGCAATAGGGGTTTGTCCACCAGAGTACATTTACTTTAGTCGAGAAGGTTTGTAAGTGATGGAGCGGGCAGGTCCCTGGAAGAGCTGCGGGTACCAGTCATGGGAAAAGTGATTCAGGAGAGAGGGCATGGTGGGTATTAGGGTTGGGTGGTAAAACAGTAATACGGTATACCAGTGGTATCCTTCAAAAGCAGCGGTATAATACCTTCATTAAAGACAGTGCAATGGTCTTATTTAGGAGATAAGGATTGAGTATGAGATATGATTAACTCAATGCCTAAAGATGATTCCATGTCCAGAAGCACTTATATGTGGTTGAACTTTTTACGTTTCGTTCACAGTACTGAGACTTTTGATAAAGTTTATGAACACGACGTCATCAGGTTCGCTAAGGAGAAGACGACTTCTGCAGTCTGGTAATATTTTTATGTCTTTATTAGTGTTTAGTATTGGGTTTATGAACGGTGGAGGCACAGGACAACAGTTTGGTGACATAAGTCATCATTTGTTATTAGTACTACCATATACCCGGTTAAAATGTGGAGACGGTATTAAGGTATCAACATTTGGATACCGCCTAGCCCTAGTTGGTATGGTGAGGACTGAGATGGCTCGGCTTGACTATGGGAAGGGTATCGGATCCAAACCTGAAGGGACGAAACACAGGAAACATCTCCAGGGATTCTACGAGAAGCAACAAGCCTTAAGCTGGAGAGACGCTACCATATGTAGACAACACTCCGGTAGAGTTGGACTGGTAGCCTGCTCCTTAAAAGCAGCTCAGGGAGCTGGGACTGGAAGAAACCGAATGCACAAGCTTCTAGGTTAGATGTGAGAAGCTACACATCGACTACTTCACAAACAACTGCAGTTTCTTTCATTGTTTTCTGCAGGTTTGGTAAGATCTTTGTTGTAAAAGGTCTCACGTTGTACTCCACGGGTTCTTTATTTGAATTCTTTCACTAAGCTTCTGCAGCACATTTACGGTCGTATGCAGGTCACAAACTTAGAGGTAAACAATTGCTTGTAACGACTCTAATTACCCAGAGAGCCACCATGACAGCATTCAGCAGAAGGTTGAATGGAAAGCATAATCCCTACTTTGAACATTACGGCAGTCCAAATCAAACAATAAAACCACGTTTCGATCCTTAAAATCCATCAAATCCCACCATATCATTTTATTTTGCAAAAAAACACCCCCACTAAAGATGTATGAGGTGTGGACCTTACGTATAGAGAAAATGTAATAAACACAAACAGACAAATTCTTACTATATACCACTGCTTCCAGCATTTTATGGTAAGACAACAGAGAAGTAATTCATTCGAAATGATAGTGATCAGGTAAACACACCAGCACCATTGTATATTTGGTTAATATACACACTGTGAGAAACTTAAATAAATTCTCAAGAAACACACACACCCTTAAACATGTTGAATGGGACTCTCATTGTCCGTTACCACTTGTTCCTCTTTTTCTCTCTCATTTATCACCCACTGAAGGGGCTGTTTCCTTTTCCCCACCATCTGCTAGTCTGTCTTTGCTTCTCTTTCCTATTTTTTTCTTTATCTTTTGTTCCTTCGGAACATGATTTGTTGCTCCTAATGTATTAACATAATTCATATATTTCACCTCTGTGGATGGCAATGCTATTAATACTGGCCCAAGGCATTAAAAATCATTCTGTTCCTGACTAACGTTTTATGTGAACTTGGACTGTTATCAGTTGACAAACCATAAGTTAGAGGCAGTTGAAAGTATTTTTCAAATGCCTCATATATATGCAGAAAATGTTCAGTTTACGTTTCAGAGTTTATTGGTGTATGTTCAATAGAAAGTTTCCTGTATATTGTACAATGCTGTCTGCATAACGCAGAGTAAAGTGAATATAATATGAAAAAAACTAATGCTGTTAAAACCTACATACAAGTAAAAATAAAACTGAACAAAACAAAGATGATGAATAGACACCCTTATACACATGGACCCATTTGCACACACTTTGATGCTACTTCTCAGTCACTGCCAAGAACATTTTATTGGGTTATATCGGGTCCAATGTTTCAGCATTGTGTCTGTGTGAGGGACCAGACTGAATCAAGGACAAAGGTGTTCCAAAAATTAGAAACATTTCAATTTTATAATATCAAAAAATCATAACAAAATATCATACTTCCATACAATACAACTAAGATTATAAATAACCCAACTGAGGTCAACTGAACCAAACACAAACCAAACTAACCTGCAGACACAAAATCAAGGCTGCTTAAATAGAGGTGGACCGCCCTAAACTTCCCACATGAGGGAGGAACATAATAGAAGTACAATAAACACAAAACCTAACAAAATAGAAGCAAAGTCATATTTAATTTAATACAAATATATTAACATGACAAAATAACTTAGGCTCAATTTAACTTAGCTTCAAAATTAACATTTCCCCTCCCTCAGTCTTTGGTACAATGGTATCTTCCAAGGATTCCCCCTCTAGCTGGATTCTAATCGGGGCCTTTAATGGTGGTGGGAAGTGGCCTCCATGTCTTCCACGAGAGGGATGCCTACTTTTGGAACCATGGGGCACTTGAATCTGATTTTTCTTCTGAATTTAAAGGTGTTCTCACTCTGTCTTCAGGTAGCAGTAAACAGAAATGCGCCTCAAGCTGAGAGAGTGCCAGAAAACGCCAGCGGCGCCGAGCTGACCAATGAGAGCAGCCCTCTGACTGCGGCCGAAGCGCCCTCGCCCTTCAGCCCCAAGCACAACGGGGACGCCACTTCACCTCAAGGTAGCTCACACCTCATCATCATCATCATCACCGAATCCATCCGTTTACGTCCGGAGCTAATTATAGTCAATTATTCAAGACGCTTGTTAACGAATTGTAGACATGTTGATCCTAACTCCATTTTCAGTAAAGCTCTTTTATTTTAAAGTTACATGCCTTTAGTTTCTGGAAGGCAGAAATTTATAACGTTTAGACTGACAAGAAATTTAAAAGTAAATCTTATAAATGCTACCATGTTGTGTCTCAAGTTAAACGACAAACTTAAAATATAAGGTAATAGATTTTAAAACAGGGTTTTTTTTCATGAACGTGTAAAATCAATAACCTAAATAATATATTCAGACTTGATATTTGTTGGAAATTCCTTTGAGTAGCGCTTTAAAGTATAAAGTATAGCTTTAAAGGTGAACGAATTATAATAAACGATTCACCTGTAATCGCCATTTTAAATGACCGTATTTTTCGGACTACAAGTCACACTTTTTTTTACATGTTTTGTATAGTTGCTATTCAATAGCGACTTGTAAATTAAAAATATACCTGTAAATTCTCATTTAATTTCCCGCAATACAACAGTTTTACGTGACAGGGTTGCTCTATGTTTTAAAATGGCCACGGGAAATGGAAATGCAATGCATCATGGGCACTGTAGTACAACAAATATATTATCATCTATACTTTTCATGTTAAGTTAACATACCTGTATTTCCATGCGATTTATAGTCCAGTGCGACTTATTTATGGTTTATTTTTCTTAATAATGGATATAGTGACCGGTTCCACTTACAATCCGGTGTGATTTATAGTCTGGAAAATACAGTATTTGTTGTTTCTGCAAAGAGACCAAAATTGTCAGTGGTTGGAGAAATTATTTTATAAAAAGATGAGAAAAGGCACAACAGAAGCCGGCTACAAAATATGACTAAACTGGGGAAATGAAGCTGAAAAAGCCTAAAAACTCACGACACAGAAAGCCACAGAGAGCTCAAACTGGTGAGGTAAAATATCCCCAAAAAACCCAAAACCTAAACCATTTATTTTGTAATTGTTCAGCCATCTTCCTGATCTTCTGCTCTCTGTCTGGTCTTCCTCTCATTCACAGATGGGAACCAGTGTTCGATGGGAAGCCGCAAGAGGGCCAGGAAGATGCCCGAGGAGGAGGAAGAGACCTGGGACTCCTTTAACAAGGTGACATCGCTCACACGATTTAGAATTTTCTGGAAAAGCCTTCATCAGTCATTTGGAAGAACTAATGCATAGGAATAAGATATAAATAACTGTTATATAATGTGTATCTCTTTTGTCTGAAACTTGTATGTAAAGCATACAGCAGTGATCCAAAATGGCCACTTTCAGGATTAAATAATATATTCTCTATGTGACTGAATGTTACATTTTTTAATAGTTTTTTTTCTATTTCTTTTCCATGTGGGAAAACAGATTTATTTATTTATTTATTTATTTATTTATTTATTTATTTATTTATTTATTTATTTATTTATTCATTCATTCATTTATTTATTTATTTATTTATTTTTATTCAATTTCTTTTTTTATTTATTTATTTTTTAATATTTTTTTTTAAGGGAACTTTTTTGTGTGTAATGTTTTCAGGAGGAGGGTTCCGGGGCGTTACAGTTCAGCTTGAGACAGACGCCCCGGCCCAGAACCATCTTCCAGGCCGGCCTGACGCCGCACACGCAGACCAAACCGCGCAGGCAGAGCCGCAAACAGGAGCAGAGCATACTGCTGGTAAAAGCCAGGAGGATTCACACACAATCTACCAGCACTAGTTTAATCTGTCCATCACTCACAACCACAAAGTCTGGAGAATGAGAATCAGGCTCCCCTAGTGCTGATTAATATATAGAAAGGATTTGCATATTGAATTCTATCCACTAATCACAATTGTTAATGTGTTCAAATACATGTAATATGATCATTTTTAGTTGTGATTAGTAGGGATGGGGATCGTTCATATTTATTGATATCGATACCTTTATCGATACTCCTTATGGATCCGAGTCTTTATCGATACCACTATCGATATTTTTCTGATATTTGGTGGAAAGATGATGCGACAATATTTATCAAATGAATAATTGTATTTTAAATTAAATGTAAATTTTAATAAATGTTGGCATCAGTAGTTTAATTATATATTCTAAAATAATTAGGGCAATATACAACTGTATTACTCATGGTTCTCGCCAAAAACTCAATTTCCCTTTTCTTTACGTTACACTTGAACGCATCATGATAACCTAATTGTCGTTTTACTGAGCCAACCTGAACACATCATCACGCAGCACGTCTGAACCTTCATTTATTTTTCAAGCTAACTAGCTTGTATGCTGCCGATTACAACACAGATTTCACAATTACTATTGTAATAATAAAAAAAAACGACCAGACTCGATAGTGGTATCGATAAGCCCAAACGGTATTGATTTTCGGGTTTTGAAAAAAGTGGAACCGGGTCCTTGATAGAACCGGGTTTCGATCCCCATCCCTAGTGATTAGTGGATAGAATTCAACATACGGAGAGTTTCCGTGGGAGCTGTGTTACACACCGCCTTATTCGTGATGCGTTGCAAACCAAATAACAAACCAGAAGCACTTTGCAGCAACACTGTTTTTGTACATAGTGACATTTAGTGATTCGGCACCTCTTTGTGGTCACTCATCTGTTTCAGCGACTTTATTGAGACTTTTGGATCACTGCAAAACTGTTTTTCTATCATTCACACACACAAAAATCCCTTAAAGTTTACAGGCTATAATATCAAATCCACATATGCTATGGATGGGTTCCAACTTTTTAAAAATAAAACAATGGATAGCTTTAACTTTGCTGTTATGTTCTCTATAGAATAAAGCCTCAATAGTCAGAGGTAAAGGTTCATGCCAACATACAGTAATCATTATCTTTGCTACCAATCAAAGGACACCAAGCTAATATAATTTTTCTATACTTAAATGACCCGGAAGAACTCAGCAGGACAAGAACAAGGGGTTCAGTTCAGTAGAAATGTGAGAGATCTTTTAAATTTCCTCTCCAGCACAGATTTGTTTTCAGCCTTATCAAATTTGGAGGTGAAAAAAAACAAGGTACCCTGAAAAAACCCTCAAGTTAGTCTTTTTTTGCATTGCCACTTCAAACCAAAATAAACTGAACTTTGAGCCGGTTCGAGTTTAAAAGGTAAACTGAATGTGAATTATTAATTTTTGACCTATGAACTTCATTTTGACCAAGTTAATGAAAAGCATGAATGTGACAACATTGACCGTTTACGTACTTTAACTCATTAGCTGCCAAAGATGTCTATAGACGTCTTTTATGTTTTTTAACGAGAGTGGCTGGGGGACGATCTGCTAAAGTTTTTCCGTAAATATCAGGCTTCTAGACAGAGTATGTAGTAACAAATTGACCCTCTAGGGGGCAGTGCCACTTTTGATGGGAGATGAGCATAGACTGTAGGCAAATAAGAAAAAGCTAACGGTTCGCTATGAGAGAACATGTCGCCAGTGAGACCCAAGTCCAGGAAGAACGGAATAAGGTAGAAACAAAAAAAATTTCCTGATGAAAGAAGAGAGTCTACTCTTTCTTTTGGTGTGTCCGGTGTTTACATAGTCATAGCACAAACTATTCTGTGGCGCTTGAAAAATCAGTCAAAATGCTCAAAAAACTGGCAGTATGGGACTCTGTTCTGAAAATGGCTGCCAGTCAATGAGTTAAGGTCCAATAGAAGTAAGACGTCTTGCACAACTTCCTGTACTTTTTGTTGTTTTTGTGTTCGCTTAGTGTTCTCTGAAGTTATTTCTGAAGCTCTAGCTCCAGTTTGACTCAGTCAAATGCATCAGTAGAAGTAGGCCACCATGGTAGAAATACACTGATGGTTTCCATTGACATTGTGGAACGTTTTGGGGCAAATAACTGAAAGTGGGGATTACTCTTGGGCTTGAAAGACAGAAAACTCTGTCTTCTACACATAATATCGTCTAATCTTTGTCCTGCCTCTGGCCTCAGTACGCCGGCGGCCCCCCCCGGGCTGCGGCCGTGTCCAGTGGGGCCCCGGAGGCCCCCTGTCTGGAGCTGATGGAGCAGGACTCCAAAGACTCGGCCCACAGCGCCAGCACCACGTCGGGGTCCGAGACCCCGCCCGAGTACAACGTGAGTGTTTCCGCCCGGTGAACCCGCTCTGCCTTCTGATCCGGTCATGTCTGAGATTCATTTGGAAATGAGCCGTTTGGAACGCGGTCAGAGGTTGGAAAATATGTCGAATGTAAACTCTGCGTCGGATATTTTCTCGGCAACTCTTTCGGCTACTTCGTTTGTTTATGTTTTTAATAATTTAGCAAATGCTTTTATCCAAAGTCGCTTTGATAAAACTATTTAGAGTTCAATTTAGCGCCCAGTTTATACCCCTTTTCTTGGGTTTAAATCTACAGTTTTTAAGCTAAACCTGCCTGGAGAAGGCAAAGTTTAAATTTTGTCTCCATTTCCTTATAGATCGGTTTTATATTAGACATTGGTTCATGGATTTATTACTCTTTTAATTATAATTATATCAAAACGCCAGAAATTGGAGCGCCAAAGTTGTGTTCGGTCCGGTTTTTGAATCAGTGATTACTTCAGACTCCCTAATATATGCAGTCAAGCAGAGAAAAAAAAAAAGGATGTGGCTCCTTTGATGACTCTTATAAACCGAATGTGCCTTTCAGATCAATTGCTTTGAGTTATTGCAACGTCGAGGCTTAAACGAGAGACTTTGATTTGTGGAAGCATTTGTTTTTTCATCAGGTTTCATTTTAAAATGTATTTTATATTCTTTGCCTTGTCATTTCAACTGTGACATTTTTTTCAAAATTTTCAAACATTATTTTTATCGCTTTGATTGACTTTTTATTGTATTTCAGGTTGTTGTTTTTTAAGTTTTTAAACTTATTTGTTAAATATTTTGTTATTTTTGTTGTTTTTAAATTGGTATATGAATCTTCTCATATACTCCTTTCTTTCTCCTTTAATCAAGATTTTAAAAAGCCCTGTCTGTCTCATATTTTTTTATTTTTTCATTGCTTTATGTCTCATTGTTCTACGCACACTCATTCATCAGTTTTAGTATTTCACAGAAGAATTATTTCGGTGTGTCATAGCTCTTTAAAGGAATGCTTCTTTCCGCTGTCTTTGGCCACAGGACAGCAAAGGCTTCGGGATCGGGGAGCTGGTTTGGGGGAAAATCAAAGGCTTCTCCTGGTGGCCGGGCATCGTGGTGACCTGGCACGCCACGGGCAAGCGGCCGGCCGGCGCCGGCATGAGGTGGCTGCAGTGGTTCGGAGACGGCAAGTTCTCCGAGGTGAAAGGGCCCACAAGGAAAAAGACCACAAACAAAAAGAAAAAGCGGAGTTTAAAAAGGAGTGGAGTTTAAAAACGTTCCCTTTTGCTGTCCAGGTGTCGGCCGATAAGCTCTACTCCATCACAGCCTTCCCGAAGTTCTTCAGCCAGGCTTCCTACACCAAGCTGGCCTCCTACCGCAGGGCCATCTTCCAGGCAGTGGAGGTAACTTTAGTGTCTTTTTTCTCTCTCTTTCTATTCTTTAACTGTCTGACTTTAGATAAAAGGCAGGTTAGGCCAGTCTTAATGCACCAACACACATAATCAGAATCAGAATCAGAAATACTTTAATAATCCCAGAGGGAAATTATTTTTGTTACTCGCTCCGTAAATAAAATAACGGCAGATACATATATACATTTCTATAAATATATACATATATAAATATATGTATATATGCAATGCATATAATGCAAAGCACAACATTTATTTTCACACATCCTCCTTAAGTCAACCCATACGGAAAAATAAATAGAAAAAAACGTATTAAAAATATGTAAATTTCAGTGTATGTTCCATGTAATGTGCATCATATAAAGAATATGTGATTTACTTTATTCATATATTGTTCTAATCAAACACCCAAATCATACAGGTTTCATTTTGTTCAAATTTACTATGGATCTTATATCTGGTTTCACTGTTGTATGCTTTATATGCTAGTTTCAGACAAAAGAGATTCAAATTGGATAAGATTTATCTATATCTTTCCATGTGGGAACTTAGAATCCAAGCTCACACAGAGACAACAGGCAGGTTCTGGGTAGATGAGCTTCCTCTGATATTAAAACTGAACCATTTCGCTAGTGCAAATGGAGTTCTGGTTCTGCGATAATCACTCAGTGTGGCTCAAAACTGCATTCAAATAACATAAATGGATCCAAAAAGACCAGGGGCCAGGGAATAAAAACCAGAGGGGAACCAGGGAATTAGGAAAAAAAGCTAATATCTTAGTAGTTTAACAAAAGGCACAAAATAAACAATCATATAAATAGAACGAAAAAAAAGGGACACGCCTGAAGACAAATGGAGCACACCTGAACAAACGCAGAAACACACTGGGATGAAGATCCTGTTACGGCCTCTCTGCCAAGATTTAGATCATTTTTCCGCTAGCGCTCGCCACAAACGCTCCCCCTGTGACCCTCTGTCCCAGCTGGCCAGCGCCCGGGCCAGCAAGACCTTCCCCCCGGGCGGCCCGGACAGCCCGGAGGACCCGGTCAAGCCCATGCTGGAGTGGGCCAACGGCGGCTTCCTGCCCAGCGGCGAGGAGGGGCTGAAGCCCAACCACAGCGCCGGTGAGCCAGGCCCGGGAGTCACACGCTCTCACACCCGTCATCCCCTGGTTTTTAACCCCTCCAACGTGTGTGTGTGTGTGTCCGTGTGTGTCCGTGTGTGTGTCATCAGACAGCAACCCGCTGGACCAGGTGCTCAGCGTGTCCCAGTCCGAGTACTTCCCCAGTGCCAAGCGGCCCAAAGCCAACCCCTGCAAGAGCAAGGCCTCCCCAGAAGAGTCCTACAGCCGAGGTGGAGCCCACACACACACACACACACACACACACACACACACTCCTCTAAAGGCCTGAATACTAGGCATGGCAAGATTCACCGATGCGTATCGGAACATCGGAACGACCTGTGCGATACGGTTGCATCGATTTGCAAACGTCTGCATCGGTAAAAACCGCACATAAACTCGAGATGCATCGTATAAAACTACCTGCATCGATACAAACCGATTATTATCTTCTATTATTATAACTTTTTAGAAACGTGTCTTTGAGTTTTAGTTGCGTTTCTTTCCATCCCTGTTTCCATTCAGAGAGACAATCACTCTCTAAGTTGCACTTCCTTTGTTTCAAAATAAAAGGCACAGTTAGCTTGCGTGCTATAACTTGAACTATGTAGTCCATGGTGTACTTTTCTTCTGCATTGCATCGCATCGTATTGTATCGTATCGTATCGCACTGTATCGCAGCATTTTAAATTTAGATCGTTCTGGATCGCAGGAGGTTGGAGAATCGTATCGAATCTTATCACTAGAAATTCCATGAATCGTGAATGTATCGAATCGTTGGCTGTGTATCGAGATGTGTATCGTATCGCCTTGGTGGTGAAGATTCCCATCCCTACTGAATACACAGTGTGAAACACACCAAATGTTTGACAGATTGTACTTTTAGTATCCATCCTGAGCTTTTATCTGGTATTTTTCAAGGTATATGGGGTTACAGGGACCTAATAAGTTTAATACCTAGACTCTTTTTTACCTTTTTTTTTTAAAGAATACGTTTATTCATTTTCAATTTCACAGCAAGTAGATAAATATCCAATAGGCAATGGCTTAAACAAACCAACAAACAAACAAATGAAACACACACACAGTGGCTCAGATACACATATACAGTTCCACATATGGAGGAAAAAATAAAAATAGAAAAAGTACAACATCATGCCTTCCTTTATGACCTTTCAGGAAATCTTTTTAACAAAATGGCCGATACATTCGGGTCAAGGTAGTTCAAATAAGGTTCCCATACTTTATACAATTATTTCGATTTGGAGTGATAAAGTGTTTATCACATTGGTGATAAAGTGGGATTGAAATTGTGTCTTTTTAACTTATTTTTAACTTATTATCTTTTTGTTTTTTAATGACAACATTTTAGTATAAAGACCACTCTCTGTCCAGCTGTAGGTAGACGGGATTACAAGCAAATAAGACAAAGGAAAACAAAACGAGAACAAATAAATGTCCACTCCCAATTAAGTACGTTTAACAAATAAAATCAAATATACATATTCAAATTTTAATCTATACACAAACACATCTAGAACCAGGCATCCAGGGGGCCAGTGGGATTTGGAGAGCTATGGGAACCAAGAAAAGAGGGGAAAAAATATAGAATATGTTAATAATAATATATATTAAAGGAGAGGAGGAAAACTGACCATTCTTACTGTATTAATAAAGACATGAAAGGATATTTTGAGCCTTAATACAGATGTAATGTGCTCCATCAGGGTAAAGAGAGGCAGAAAGGCAGGGTGGATGCTAAGACCAGAAATTTGGTTTGACATATTGTATATATTTGAAAAAAAAACAGTACCTGAGTCAGTCGTTTTTAAATATTGTCCCATGTCTTTCAACATTGTCCATCTTTTTTATTCTGCCAGAGCAAATGGTGACTGAAGTTCAAAAAAATAAACGAAGTATAGAAGGTAAGGACTCACCCCTCTGTGATATTAAACCATAGGAATTATTATTATGCTAAATAATTCTTATTATAGTTATTTAACCTAATAGTATTAATAATATTATCATTTACCATCTGAACTTTTTTCATTAGTAAAGGCCGTTTTATTTATTTTTTTATTTTTAATGAATATTTTTGAACGTGTGTGTTAAAATGTTGTATTTATATTTATTATATTATATAATGTTTAATGTGTGTGGCAGAGTTCTGTCTCTCTTGTGGAAAGATGAAAGCGGCAACTTTCCACCCGCTGTTTGAAGGAGGCCTGTGCCAAACCTGCAAGGTAAAGCCATCCAAAATACGAACCCAGACCTTTAGAGAAATATTCACGCATGAACGCAGACTGTAGAATTAAGTAGAATTTCACAATGTGTTTTGATTTAGAGTATATTTCTGCCAAATTATAGCGGTTCAGCTAAGATGGTAAATCGATTAAAAATGATCATTATCAAGTTTCTTTGGCTCATAATGTCTGCAGAGGAGCCATAATCCTGTATAGGACACATTTGTCTGCAACTTTTTATGAGTTTTAGAGTGTGTTTCTGCCCCTAAAATAGTAAATGAGCTACGAATTATAAACCCTTCCCTTTTACAGTCCCTATTGCTCGTAGCATTTTCATACTTTTACTTAGAAAAAGAGAGCTTTAGTATGTTTTTGTTTTTAAAATGTATTAAGAAAAGTGGAAAGAACAATAATAAAAACAAATAATAGATAAAAATGAGAAAAGAAACCTATTTTAACTCCAATGATCGGATATAATAGCAGCATCCTGATTCACAGAGGATAATGCACAAAAAGAGTTTTAACATAATTTGTTATGTATCTTTATGAATTGGAATTCATTTTATTGAGAAATGAATAAAGGAGTGATCCTTTGTGTCAAAAATTCTATGTTCATGTCTAACATTCCTACACAACAAGCAGCCTTGAGATATTTTAATAATAGAATATTTAACCCTATAAAGCCAAATGTGCCAAATTTGATCCGGTTTCTGAAGTCTTTTGGATCTGAGACTTTTTGCATCATTCAGTGGTAAAAGCTTTGCTCAAACCCCTGTTGTACACATTCAGATATACCTGATAACAGCCAGTAGAAGACTACACCAACATATATTTATTTTTTACTTATTGCACGCTAATTTGACCAAAATAATTTCAGTTTTTTTTTTCTTCATATGTTGTTGAGGGGCCAAAGAAAGACTTCAGACTAAATAAAATCCAATATTCTTCCTATTTTTCTTGGATCAGGCTTTAAAGGGTTAAGAATAAGTTTAAAAATGATTAAGCAAAACAACAAATCAGTTTAGCGTTTCAGATGCGTTGCTTAATTTAAGTGATATAAAAATTGCACCATTAAATGAGTGTGTTGGTGCATGTGTGTGTGTGTTTTTTTTGTGTGTCCAGGACGTGTACCTGGAGATGTCCTACATGTACGACGACGACGGCTACCAGTCCTACTGCACGGTGTGCTGCGGGGGGCGGGAGGTGCTGCTGTGCGGGAACGCCAACTGCTGCAGGTCTGACGCGCAGAGACACACAACCAACCAACCAACCAACCA